TTGGTCTACTATCGTTCTCTGGTAGGCATCTCCGTTAATGTGTGTGAATCTCATCTCTGGAGCGGGGCTTTGGGCGATAGCTGCGTGGAACTTGTTGTTAGCTAGCGGGGATGAGACTAGAGCCAGTATAGCTGTGGCACCTCCACTCTCACCAATCAGGGTTACTGAGCCAGGGTCTCCTCCAAACGCTGCGATATTATCTTGTATCCAGTCTAAAGCTGCGATCATATCTCTGATTCCATTATTAGCATAAACCCCTGCTTCCTCATCCCACAGCTCCTCCACTGAACTGAAACCTATGAACCCAAGCCTGAAGTTGATGTTAACAGTCACAGCATCAACCTTATGGGTCACCTCAGCATCAAAGCTGTAACCCTGCATCATCCCGTACCCTGTAGCTAACCCTCCACCGTGAATCCACACCAGAACTGGTTTAGAACCAGTCAGATCACGTGACCGGACACTCAGCACTAAACAATCCTCCACTCCAACACCTGTATCCGCCTGGACACACACCACGGGTGTTTCGTCACTAGCTTCCACACCCTGCTCAGGGTCTACCACCGGTCTGACTGGAGGTCTGAACCTTAGCTCTCCGATAGGAGCCACAGCGTAGCGAATATTGTGGAACTCGTGCATTTCAGTGACGTCATCTTTTAGGGTTACTGTTTTTCCGAGGATTATTCCAGCGTTTTTAGTTCGGGCTTGGATTGGGTTCTTGATGTTGTCTTTGACGACGAATACCAGAAGCAGGGCGAGCACTACAAAGGCTAGGAAGAGTAGGATTGCGGAGAAGATACCACATGCTTTTCTGCTGCATCCCATCTTGAGGGTATCTGGTATTGTGATTAGTCAGTCCGGGTGTTCGGAGTTTGATCTTTTCTTGTGATTTATTTTAACGATAAGATATAGAGAAAGACATTAGAAATCATTTACAAGAAAAATAATATATAAGTATTATGTATTGAAATGAAATCTAAAATAATATCCGAGTTTCAAGATTTAATTCCGATTTAATTCCGATTAATGAAATAAAAGTAAAAAGAAAAGAACAAATTATTACCAAGTTCAAGAAGAAGGAAGTATGAAAATTAAACAAAATAAAGGTAGCATTTAATTTACAACGATGGGCATTGAAAAAAATGTTGCTGTCAGACAGACAAAATGACTGAAACTCATTTGTTAAATGATTCAGCGACACAAAATAACCATATTAGGATCAACGCAATCCGACGTTTGACAGATTACGATTTGAAAGATCACTAATAAACTAGTTTATCTATAAACTAGTTTATTGATAAACTAGTTCGTTTATAAACTAGTTTAAAAGGAGAGCAAGTCCCCGTGTCCAATGAGGGGACAGAATAGAGCTAGCTCAGTAGCAGCGGCAATATTTGTGTAATTGTCTTCGTGTAACTATAATATGTAAGGTGTATTATGTTCTGAACAATTTAAAAAATGTATTCACATGTAACCCAAGCTCAGTAGGCAGTAAGTTAACACTAGTTGATTAAACATTGGTCTGTGCTTTGTAACGCAAATTGTTCTCACACAAATTCTAAAAAATGAGGACAGTTAAATAAAACTAGCTCCTTGTATGCTCCTAAATAGAAGTTTAAGTTAGAACAATACCCTGGTCCCTGAACCTTAAATAATAGTCATTATAATACAGACGGTTTCCCGGAAGAGGAGAATAACATAATGTTCTTAATTATTACTTTTATAGCATTTAAGATATTGAATACTACTGAGTACCAAAGCAATGAATACTATTATGTACGTAATGTAAACAATCAAAACCCCGATTTACCGCAAACCCCAATTTACCGCGTCTTTTTCCTTTCTCCCAAACTCCGCGGTAAATCGGGGTTTACTGTATTGGGTGTATTATGTTCTAAGACAATGGATAATACTATGTTCTAAGACAATGAATACTACTATGTTCTAAGACAATGAATACTGACACTGAAAAAAGGAAAACCCAGCAGGGATTAAGATGACTACAAGTAAGACCCTGGAATGAAAATAAAATATATTTCTGTGCGTAGTCTGATCAAGTCAGACTGGGTGATACCTCCAATTAGGTAAGTGTAATGACGTGGTACATACCACACAGATACACATCACATCATGGAGTTAATGATATTGATATTATAATCAGAGTGTAGTTTATATCAGAGTGTAGTTTATATCAGAGTGTAGTTTATATCAGAGTGTAGTTCATATCAGAGTGTAGTTTATATCAGAGTGTAGTTCATATCAGAGTGTAGTTTATATCAGAGTGTAGTTTATATCAGAGTGTCGTTCATATCTGAGTGTAGTTTATATCAGAGTGTAGTTCATATCAGAGTGTAGTTTATATCAGAAATAGGAACCCGAGTTCTCTACAAACTCATTATGAGTTAGGAGCTATGCTAAGTGGTAGATCTATTCACTCCCCAGTCCCCTAGAGTGCTTAAGCTTAGGAAACTAAACGAGTATATATAAATATATTATATACATTTTCGCATTTTAAGATATTTGGAAATTTAATGATTGGATCGAGTCAAATCTTACTATATATAAAGCGGGACAATATATATGGATATATGGATGGATCCGTGCCATTTTACTGACACCACGGCATCAACTTTAACGCGACTTTCCGCAAAAACCGTAAAAGATATACAACTTAAACTTTTTTGACTGGGTCAAATGCTTTAATGGCCCAATCAGCATGAAAATGTAAATTGGCCCAAGGAAATAAGAAATTTTGGTGCCAAAATTTGACTCCCAAGTTGTGTCAAATATCAAAACGCGAATTAAATATTTAATAATTATTTTAGTCTCTCGAGTTCTTGACAACACTTGCGTTAGACTGGTTCCTGCTAGTTATTATAAATGCTTTTGTATATAAAATACGTCTGTCCTAAAAAAAATGTGAGCCGTAGCTACCTACGACTTTACGAGACATATTTAAATGGTACGAAAATCATTTCGTTCCGATGTAATCATTTTTAAAAAAAAAGTTACCGGGAATTATGTCGAATATAAATATGTCTCGTAGGTACTCAGATTGACTACGATATTCAAGCTAAAAGAGATTGTCTCATTCGTGGGATTTTTTTTTTCAAAAAAGTGATTGGGATTGTTGCATCAGCCATTCAATTCAAGTCAAAACATGATTTTCACGTCTAACGTGATTCTCGGAATCAAACGTGACTTCACGCACAGAATTCTATTTCCTTAAAAAACCCGCATTCCACAAGCATGATCTCTGGCGGGAGAGAGCGCAGAGAGAGGGTAAAACGAAATTACCTCTGGTACCGGCAGAGCCTAAGTCTCTGTATCAAATTAGATCTCGTATATATTTTAGATAGAGCTGTTGCGGAGATAAATTACCATCGATAAAAGATATGCCTATTTTTTAAACTAAAAAAACAAACAATTCCTCTAGTTTTGTCGGCAATATATCGAAAAAAACCAGTGCCCTAACACTTACCGTTTTCTTGATTAAGTGGTTTGAAAAAATATACGCGACCGACATCGCTTTTAATCGGCTAATATTAACTAGATGGAGTTTCTAGCATTTTCGAAACCACCAGTATAAGCAATTCGATATTGATTGGGAGAGGCCTCTAAGAATCGGCAACAGACTCTGCGAAGGAGTAATTACCGTATACCATCTGCAAGTTACAGGTCTCAAATACGAAACATGGCTGTGTTAGAAGACCCCCCCCTCCCATTTAATTAATCAATTAATTACCATCCTTTAGGTTTGAAAGTTCGTAGTTGGCACCACTAAAAAACCTTCACATGTTTCCTTTTAACGTACAAGAAAAAATCGAATACAAAAAAAAATATTTAGAATATGAATCGGCTATAAGTAAAAAAACACCTTGGAGCCATATAATGCACCCCCCCGCCCCCTGTATAACAGAAATAATCCCAATTCGAGCTGGACGAAAACAAACAAGACAGGATAATGGCAGAGTGAGTGGTATGCATATCTTCATGTTATATTTCTAGGAAGATAAGTTATCTGGAGGTAATCTAACTGGGACTGTTTAAAAACCTCCGAGTGGTTAAAGTACAGTTCTCGGCAGGCCCCAGAGTGCCGTTGTATTTTTTATTGATTTCCTATCAAACTTAAAACAAATAACCTTAGTAACGTATAATTAGAAAAAGTATTCGAATTAATTAGTTTAAGGTTCAAAATTGTAAAAAGTGCTTTTTCCGGTTTCAAATCGGTAGGGAGCAAAGAATTGAAATAGGAAGTACAAATACAATTGGACACAGAGGGACTCATACCGGGCCCAGAAAATTCCCTTCTCGGCCCTGGGTAAATACAAATACAAATTAAAAATAGAGATGTTGTCATGGCGGGACAGCTAATCTTGATTTTTCATGTTATAAAATAAACCAATCTGGTAAACTGATCCATCTGTTAACATTCATCACACAGACGTTTTATTTCAGAAGTGCAAACTGATCTATAATAAAAGGCACTGTGAGCAGAAGCATGGCGCATGCTAGTGAAACTTGTCATGCACGAACAATATTTATATTCATAGCATATTAATGTAGCACACCGTCATACGTTATAGCTCGCTAACTGCTAAGTGGTTCATCATTATATACATTGATATATTATATACATTATTATACATAATATATACATTGACATTAATACATTGATATAAATAAAAATATTTTTACAAGAAACAGTGTGGTGCTGTAGAATTAAGATTCTCAATTCTGAATCAGTGATTGTTTTATTGCTTTTAGTACTATCCTTATGTGGGGATAAATACCTGATTTATGAGCCCCCACTCATTATAAGGAATCAAGTGAATTTTAACAGGGTCTTATCACGGGTTATTACGGGGATATTACAGGTAACACCGGATTTTAGCTACACACACCCGCGAAACTCAAGAGCTCTAACCATATCAATAATCAAAACTTGGGGATAACAGAGAAAGTATAAGAATTAACAAATTAAAGATTACAAAAATTACCTTGGGTATGATAGCCAGCCAGTCCTTGACACTTCCGCAAGGTGCTTCATCAGGCCGGTACTAGCGGGACGCTCCTATACACTCTTGTTGTTCCTCTGACTCTCCACACTGAAATCAAAACTGGGGGTCCCAGCGTTAGTCCCGGGGAAAGCCAGTTTGCCGTACATTTAGGAGGACAGAACAAGATGTTTCCTTGTGTTTGGAACATTAAGGAGGACAGAACAATATGTTTCCTTGTGTTTGGAACATTTAGGAGGACAGAACAGGATGTTTCCTTGTGTTTAGAACATTTAGGAGGACAGAACAGGATGTTTCCTTGTGTTTAGAATATGCGGTGACAGAACGAGATTACACGTAGGGTTACAGACAAATTTAGTGACATTGGGAATAGTAAATTATTCAATTTCAAGACACATTGAGTATATTTTTGAGAAAAAAGCATGCATGCGTAGCAAAAGCTTTGCGCAGAATTAGCATAAGCAGTAGAGAAAGTAAGATATATACGAGGAAGTTTTTACAAGGAAGTATGATAGATGATGCTAGTAGTGGGGAAGCAAGGCACGTCAAATTGACAACTTGAACTGATTTTGATGCAAGATAGTCTGACACAAAGTCAAAACCACCACAAGTTTCAGAGTTCCAACTCTGCTACTAGCAACACCTATCTAGGATACATAATACCACAGATAGGACCGACAGAATGTACTGCGCTTATCATGCTTCTTCTGCGCTGATTACAGCGCAGCAGCTAGCAGAAGAAGCAGGTATGAAGTAATATCGGCGGATCTGTGTGAAGGATAAATGTGGATTCAGGTGGGGAGGTGAAGCATAATCTTTGACACGTGAGAGAAATTATCGAATCAGCTTCGGCTTTTGACCTATCAGCTCTCAGAATCACTGTCATGTGTTAAATAAAATGCTTCACCTCCACACCAGAATCCACATTTAGTCTGAAGTGGTTAGCGTGAGAGGTGGTGAAGAAAGGGTGGTGGATGAGAGAAGGTTCTAAGAAGGTGCTAGATGGTTTCTAGGAGATTTAGATTGTTTTAGAAAGTGCTTACTCGTTGAACCTCATTGCTGTGAAATAATGCACATAGATTGAGATTGCGAGCATTTCCAACTGGTAATTTGCACTTTTTCGTTTTAGCGCTTCAGAGTTGTAGTTATTCCTGAATTTCGATCACGAAATTTCAACGCGCTATTTCTTTCTTTTTAGTTTTAAGCGACTTCAGACTTCAGAGATGTCCTTATCCTGAATTTCGATCACGAAATTTCAACGAGGAATTTCTTTCTTTCTTATTCTATGAAAACATTGGGTCATCAATAGAAACTCCATTGATCCGTTTAAAATATTGCTGTCTCGGAAAATATTTTAGATTCCATATGGAGTAATGATAAAAATCCCTTCCAACTTCAATATAAGCAACTAAGGGTAAGTATCACCATCAAAAGATTTACCAATAATTTTGTTTGGCGTTGAGTTCGATGTTTATCAACAAGCAGCGTCTTGTAAATATATACGGTAGGTTCCGCTTAGATGTTTTCTTGTGTTGGAATATAATCAAGGTTTATAATCACACCTTACGTGATAAGTAGGATATTCAATATCAATAACCTCCCTTACTTAAATAAAAAGTTAGATATATCATTGGCAGAGAAACGTTTTGTCAAAATTTTCGGTACGACAACGTAGTACGTGTTTCATTAAGGTTTATGCGCGGCGGTCCGCCCACACTGTAATTGATGCAAGATTATGTTACAGTTACACAAAGCTATAGTGTGATTTATATCGCCATTTCAAGTTATTGCGGTCGTGCACAAATGTTGCTGTGGAAAGTGTGTAGATACCAGCTGAAAAAAAAAAAAAACTCTCCCCCACAAAATAAGCAATCTGACTCCCACATTCAGCAAGGCTACTGAAAATTGATGAGCCTGTAAGTTACTGGTAACTGTAAAGTAACTTGTAAACTGTAAGTAACTTGTCAGTTACTTATGAGTAGTTGTAAGTAAACCTGTAAGTGAAGAATGTAACACATAAAAAACAATCCCGTTTAATGAAGAAAAGTGCGTTAAAGTTCAGATATAAAGATGCATTTCCCTTAAAGCAAGAATAAAATAAAGGTACGTTGGTGTCACAAAAAAATGTCACAAAGACCCGTTTGTATTTGTACATTATACATTACACAGCGTCAATTGTACAAGAAGCATGTACAAGGTGCTTTGCGAGAGAATCTATGACACACATGAAACAGGAATAATGGTTGATCAGGTATGGCCTTTATACGTCTTACCACAGCCACTAAACCGTGCCCATACGCGGCGGGGGGGGGGGGGGGGGGAGGTACACTGTAGTGTAAGTGTACCCCCCCCCTACAGCGTCCGTTAGAGGCCGTATCTTATCTCCATTTTCCCATACACTAAATGAAAGAGCACAGCACCGCAGCTATATATAGCAAATATAGCTGTAAAGATTAAAGATGTTTGAAAGACAAGTAACATTACTTTGTTTACGTGTTCCATAGTACACCACCATCAATAACCCCAAACGGAGTATTTACATAAATTTAGGTAATTATGCGACAGAATTAATTAATTAAAACTCTAACATGTATCTATGATATCACACATTTATTGACACTGGCAGTGACTGGCGGTTGTAATAAAGTTGAGCTGTGATCCTGATACCGGTCATTTAACCGGTAACATGACCACAGCCCTGAAAGCTTGGTGAAGAAAGAGGGGGGGGGGGAGGCGGGGGTTTGCAAGGAGCATTGTTCACTATTGACTGTGATATGTAACTAGAAAACAATATCCCTCGCAGCCCCCCCCCCCCTCCCCCTAAATGTTATCCCGCGAATAGTTGCTGGACTAAAAATATGTTAAAAGACATTTGAAGGTTTTTAGTATCGTAAGAAATTGCAGGTTTCTTTTTCAAGCAGGTTTATGAAAACATATTTAATTGATAACTTTGTTTTCTCAGATCCTTTTTAAATAGCATGACATATTAATCTTCTTAGTCTACATAGCTTGTTATTCAAAAGGGGGGGGGGTTTTTTAGTGTTACCAATCAAATTTATAAATAAGAAGTGTTTGGAAGGTGTCTTCTTCTATTGCACAAAAGGCAGCAGCAACTATTCACGGGTTAACTTAAAAAGTAAGTTTAAAATAACAGAAACAGTTTTGTAACTGCTTCTACTCTGAAAACATGAATAAACTCAAATATGCCATTTGACCACGGTAAACCACGAGCTCATTTTTGATCTCTGTAAATACAGCTGACGTTCACACGACAGGGTTTACACGGACAATTCCCTGGATATCACGTGACAATTTGGTGAGTCACGAGTCAGCTGGATCAAGTTTTATTCACACTTGCACTCGTGTGATTGCAATTGAGAATCTTGTGATTTAGTGATTGGAATTGAGGTTATGAGGGATTTGGGATGACGTTTAAACTTTATTATATCACGTGACAATCCATTGACGTCACGTGACAAGCCAATGAAGTCAGTGACAATACCTTCACCACGTGATCCTGTCACACGACACTTACTTTGATAAGCAAGGTCCTTCATCGTCCGTCACAGCCTGCATCTTCAGCAACTTCTGCACGAAGGAGTTAGCCTTGGTCTGGAGGATGACCTGGTCAGCGTTATTGGGCAGTCCCAACCAGGCAGGGGTCTGTGTGTCCGGTAACTTGTGCATCCAACGGAGGAAATCTTCTCTTCTGTGGAGGGAGAAGAGTTTTAGATGATGTCGTGGTTAAGGCTTGGTTAAAGCTGATTATATTATGGTGAGTAATGGATAATTTGTTTTAATTTCAATGTCTTGAAAAAGTACAGTTAAGCAGTTCGTTATCAATAAGTGAATTATAATTAATAATTCATTATTATAATTGATTTATCAATTATTATAGTTAATGACAATTAGTAATAATTTACAATAATTAATGACACGTGATCTCACCTCAAACCGTCAGGTATAACAAGTTTATTCCCAGACTCGTCCACCTTATCTACTAGAAGGAAGTCAGATTCGAATGTGGCAGGCTGGAAAATACGCCTGAAGGAATTTTAGTTTTTACCTTGTTGCAAGTTTAGTTATTTAATTGTTGGAAAACTCGGAGTGGCATTAAAATCCACAAAGCAAGTGTAATTGGTATAATTAGTGTAATTAGTTGTAATTAGTGTAACTAATCTCCTTAACTTACTTGACAAAGTCGTTCATGAGAAGCTGGTCAAAGTTGTTGTCGATGCGGCCCCCATAAATACTCTGTGACATGAGAGTACCTAGAGCATCCCAGGGAATCTTGTTGGGTGGTAAGTTGTCTCTACCTGAACATTCGGTAATTAGTTAATAAGTTTAATTAATTGGTTAAGAAGTTTAATTGGTTGTTAGTTTTTATATCTGAGGGTTTCTTCGAACTATTCTTTGCTTTTTACAGAACATCAACAAGCAACCAAATTGGGACCAGTTAAATTAGGGTATTTTAAAATGTCAATCAAGTGGCAGAATGTAAAAAGCTCGACTATGAGGGTAGACTTTTGGGGTTGTCGACCCTAAGTATACCCTAAGTGAGGGCTTTATAGAAACGCCAGTATCAAAGGTACGAACCTTCAGCAGTGTCGTCGATCTAGCGGTCAATGGTATCACAAGCACACTTTAGATCAGACTCGTTGAATTCGTACTTCTTGGACCAGCCAAGCGGTGTGTCCTGTATTGGTGTGGATGACGTCACGGGACAGTGTGATGATGTCATGTGACAGTGTGATGACGTCACGTGTTTTACACTAAAAAATCACTACAATTCTATTAGAAGGGGGTTCTGTTGCATTTGTATAGGCGAAAAAAAGGAAGATGGTAGTTGTGAGCGCGTTGAAATTTGTTATGGCGGTCACGTGACAATATAATGACGTCACGTGACAGTTTGACGACGTCACGTGACACGACGTACCTGAGTCTCTCCTGGATGATGGCGTGGAACCAAGCCAACAAGAAGTACATCCGGGCCCTTTCGTTAGGGGACTTGTTGACACGGTTAGCGGAAGATACGTGAATGTACGCACATATTTGCTGATACATGAGGATGTTCACTACTTGCATTTTTGGCATATTTATAAATTAACATATTGAGATTTTTAATGATATTATTAAACAAAACCAGATTTTGCGCAAGGCGACGTCTGGCTGGAAAAGAACGATAAAAATGGATGAGGATCGCGATTTCATAACAATATAATATCGTCAAGTGAAAACATGATGACGTCACGTGACAATACAATGACGTTACACAATAACCACCACTCACCATCTGGAGGCTCGAATGTAAGGATCCTCCCTGCCCTGAGCAGGTTAACAGGTATTTTAGGAGTAACCTCCAGAGTGAGGAAGAGGCGGAAGTTAGGGTGAGCTTTTAGAGCGTGTAGTTTCTTCTCTAACTGTACTAACCAAACCTGGATATTATTTGTTAGTGGCTTGTTAGTGACTTGTTAGTGACTTGTAGGACTTGGTGGGGACTTTTAGTGACTTGTTGTGACTTGCTAGTGACTTGCTTTAGTGATTGTTAGTGGCATGTTAGTGGGGGCATGTTAGTGACTTATTATTGACTTGTTTGTGGCTTGTTAGTGCTATTATTGATTGTTAGTGACTTGATAGTGGCTTAGTATGATTATCTCGGCAACCTTAATCTGGTAGTGACTTTCTACACATAATTTCCACAAGATATAGTACCTGGAGCTAGATGTACATTCTTGAGCATGACCCACTTTCCGTTCTTGCTGGCAGCATTGATAGCCTTCTCAGCCAGAGCGAACCCTTCAGCACTACACAATGCTATGTTGGAGAGAGCTTGCTTCTGGTTGGTGGCCATGTCTTCTACTCTTCCTGGAGAGAGGTGGTTAGTATGGTGTCTAATTGCTTCATCAAGCCAAAAGTTCTGTTATTTTAGAAGAAAACCAGAGCATGTAGCCAAAGTTTCTGTTATTTTAGAAGAAACAGTGGAATCTAGACAAAAGGTTTTTTTCTGTTTATAATGTTTTTTTTTAAGGTGGGGGATGAAACAGTGGTGTAATGTAGCTGTTATTTTAGAAGAAACAGTGGAATGTAGCTGTTATTTTAGAAGAAAACTGTGGAATGAGCCACGGTTCTGTTATTTTAGAAGAAACTGTGGAATGTCAGCCAAACGTTTCTGTTATTTTTAGTAAGAAACAGTGGGTGTAGCCAAAAGTTTCGTTATTTTAGAAGTAACTGTGGGAATGGTTAGCCAAAAGTTTGTTATTTTAGAAGAAACAGGGAATGTAGCCAGTTTCTGTTATTTTAGAAGAAACAGTGGAATGTAGCCAAAAGTTTACATATTAGCTATGGATGTGGGTGTAACTTATCCATTATTAGAATATTTAGTAATATTTAGCAATCAGCATATTATCTAGCAATATAAACACATTTCAATTCAACCCACACAACAAATCCCACTTACCTGAAGCATCATAACCCGTTACACAGCTGAGCAGTATAGGAGTGTTGGGCTTTATTTCGTTCTTTGTTACAGAGTACAGGTCAAGTTGTTTTCCTCCACAAAAACGGTCTCTCCTATAAATATTTAATAAATATAATTAATTAAAAGTAACATTCATGAGAGAAAAAATAAGATGGTACTCAAACTTGATGAGTGTAAATGTTACATCCATAATTCTTGGAAAGATGATTTCATCTGTAGTATGCAGCAGAAAAATAATCACATTAAAACTCCAATATACTCGATGTTATGGACGTCATATGAAAGCACGTCATGTGAACCAATCATGGAGTCCGTGACACCATTTCATGAATAACGGTTTTCACGTGCTAAAGATAATAACCCACCAAACACAGCTCCCACAAACTTCCTACAAGCACCGAACACCTTGTCCGGACGGAGCGTGTACACGTATATCATCTTGTAGAGGGCACTTGTGATAGGGTCCTGGGTTTCTGCTCCTTCCCAGCATGGCAGGGGTTCAACCTGAGGGGGTGGGGGTTTGAGGGGAGGGTTTTGAGGGGTGGGGGTCCGAGGGGTTTGAGAGGTAAACAGGCAAACATACAAACAGCAGTTTTGCCACTAAAAATGGATATATTCGAACACATGAGTTGTGTTTGTCGAGGTTGAAAAACGACCAGGCGCATGAACACAATCACACGAATAGACTGACAAACAGTCACACAAAAAACACGTAGAAACAGAGCCTTAAACCTCGTACGGATAGATGGCTGCGTTCTGTAGCACTTCCTCAGAGTTGTTCTGGGACAAAGGCGCGAAACCGCTTGAAAGGCTCTAAAGTGTTGGTTAGAGTGTGGATTGCTTGCACCTGCATGTTCGTAAATCCCTGGAAAATGTGGGAGTTTAGTATATATGAAGTCACGTGAGAATATGGTGACGTCACCGGGAGCTGCTAATAAAAATTGTCACACCGCACAAAACTTTGAACCTTTCAAATATTGTAATCAAAGACTGTGTATCTGGTACATTGCGCATTATCCAAAACTTTGTTATTCAGCAAAAACTACTTGATCAATAATTGTATCACTTAATTACTTAATTAATTAACTGTAATACTGTTGAAACCTTGATAGGTCGGAGTCCTTCATCAGCCCGGTTGTAGCTCTGAGTATGTAGTTAAATTCAGCGTCCAGGTTAAGATTCCCACTAGATTTGAGGAATATTTGACACAGTACGTTAGCTAGGATCAGTCTGTCTTCTTCGAAATACCCACGTCGGAGTGAGAGGTATTGTCCGTGTGATAGAAGGGGGAGAAGGGGTCACAACATTCCTGCGTAAAAAGTCTAAAGAATTCTGTTTAAATATCACGAATAGCGATGATCCTTCCAGAGTTATTACTACATAGTAAAATACTCTAATGTTTAGTCAGGCACATAAATAATTAAAAACTGACCGATGCGAGTGAAGGCGACAGTAAAGAGATCAGTTGTTATAATCTTGAGTCTCTCAGTGGTTCCGGTAACGTTGTTCAGGTTAACGTTACTCTTAACAACCGACTCAAACATGTCCAGGAAGAACTGAGGAGGCATGGTGTTTTTAAAATTGTTAGTTTGTTAGTTAGGTTAGTTAGTTAGTTATTTGTTAGTTAGTAAGTTAGTAGTTAGTTAGTTAGTTAGTTAGTTAGATAGTTAGTTAGTAGTTAGTAAAGTTATGTAGTTATTTAGTTAGTTATTTAGTTAGTTAGTTGTTAGTAAGTTATTTAGTTATTAGATAGTTAGGAAGTTAGTTAGTTAGTTAGTTAGTTAGTTAGTAGTTTGTTAGTAAGTATGTTGTTGGTTAGTTAGTTAGTTAGTTAGTTAGTTAGTTAGTTAGTTAGTTAGTTAGTTAGTTAGTTTGTTTGTTTGTTTGTGACTTTTTGACTTTGTTTGTTTGTGACTTTGTTTGTTCTAGTTACCTGTAGAGAGTATTGGTACAGATAATGTATCTGATTGAGTGTCTCCATTGCAAAGAAGATACCAGAACACTGAACTGATAGAGGTCGGTAGATGTTCGTCACTGATTCAACTTCCGCCATCACTACATCCGTCTCTTCTACCTAAATTAAAGAGATAATTACTAGTCGGAGAAAGTAATGATAATACGAAGAAGCTGCTTTTTAAAATAATGATGCATTAAATTAAATCAAATTTATTGCAAATAATGTTTGTAAAAACTAGCCGAAATTAAAATCAAATCTCCTTGCCTCCTTTCCAATTACACCTTAAACTGAAAACTTTACAATCCTACCCACTTTCTTGACTAACAGTGCTAACAAATCAAACACGATTAACACTAATAATACTAGATCTTTACTCTGACAATTACAAAAACACTTTTATAGATCGTTACCACCTTCTGTTGTATCTCAGCTGCTTCTGACTTCAGAGTTTCTAGAGTTCCGATGACTTTCTCATCCTCCCAGAATACTTCCTGGCCACAGAATAATTGTCTAATTAATAATTAATTAATAATTGTTTAGATGGGGTGACGTTATAACGTACTCCACAAACTCTATCTCGTTGATTTAAATTGAGAAACGATGATTCTCGGATTTATCCTAAATTTTCAGTGGACTATTTCCATTATTTTAGTTGAAATAACTAATCGTCCTAACTAAATAAATCTTACAACAGCTCCTCTAAAATGCCACTGAAACTACTCTGAAAGATACTACAAAATGACACTTCCCGTACCTTTAGCCTCGTTAAGAGCAGCTAGCAGGGATTTCTCCAGATGTCGGAGCCTCACAGCGAACTCTCCGTGTAGCTTCAACAGGTCACTCCTCTTTTTGTCAACATCTGGTCTCTCTGACTTCAACACTCTGTGACGGGGTGTTCAGTGTTCAGAAAATAAATTAAGTTCGAAAGTATATTTCCTAGAGGCTAGAGTTCAGTAACTAGCGATGAAATTGATTCCATTTGTTATTCGTATTGAAATAAATGTAACACTATCAATACGGAAATTATCTAAAAGCATCAAAATCGTATGAGGGCAGAATCAGTCGAAGTCTTTCTGCTTGTATATAATTATAATCCACAAACCCGATAAGCGAACGGACAAACAAATATACAATTAACGAAAATTCTTACAAAAACAAAACAAAACGTACAAACACACAAAACAAGGCATACAAAACACACAAACAAAGTACAAAACTCAAACAAAGTACAAACCCCACAACCAAACGTACAAACACACAAACAAACGTAAAAACAAACATACAAACACACAAACAAACGTACAAACACACAAACAAACGTACAAACACACAAACAAACGTAGAACACACAAACCTGTTAGCACATTGGCTCTGAAGACTGCTTCTCGTCACAGTAAAGTTAACAAAAGTCACCCTGGAGCACAGGTCAGGCGGGAAGTCCACGCTGGGGTCACGTGTTGAGAGGAAGATGTTGAAGGAGGGGGAGAAGTCGATATCTGTATCTCCGATTGTTATCAGTACTCGGCCTGGGAAGGGGGGAGGTTTGTGGTTCTTGTAATTGAGGGTTTTGTTTAAAATTTGTTTAAAACTTGACTTTATTTATTTATTTGTTCTCGAGGGTTTATGGTTTTAAAAAAAATTTAATAGTTTTAAGCTTTGATTTTCAACATTTATAAAAAGTCAACCAAAACGGCCGTTTATTTGTTTAACTGTAGAGCAAAAAATGTTCCCAGGAAGATCTCAACCTTCCAACTTATAAATAAAAAACAACAAAAAAACTACCAAACAAATATTCAGACTACCATTAATCTGCTGATCTTGCTCTAAGTTTCCTTAACTAAAAAAAACCCACACTCGTACAACCCCACTGTATAACGAACAGAATGATCATCCTAAGTAAAGTACGACCCACTAACTCAGTACGTTCAATCTCTATTAAGAACAGGATTGAGAATAGCATCGTAATTCTCACAGTCCTGAACCAGGATTGGATTACCGAACCTCAGTGCTGACTCCGGTTTTTACGGAAACTGTCATCCAGGAAACTGCTCTTCATAATCTTCTTATCTCTGAGGAGAGGGTTAGGGTTAGGGAAGGAGAGAAATAGTTGGAAAGGGGGTGGTGGGGGGGTTAGGATTAAAAAAGGTAAAAAGGTTGTACAAACAAAATCTACCCAAAGGTGTTCTTTTGCGGATAGTCAAAAACGCGACAAATAGCGCTGGATGGAGACAACTAGCGCTATACGCGCTATTGGTCGCCATCCTGCGCTGTTGTCGCGTTTTGACTATCGCAAAGGAACCACCTTTGGGTATATTTTGTTTGTACAACCTTTTTACCTTTTTTAATCCTAACCCCCCACCACCCCCTTTCAAACTATTTCTCTCCTTCCCTAACCTAACCTGCTCAGAGATAAGAAGATCATGAAGAGTAGTTTCCTGGATGACAGTTTCCGTAAAAACCTGGAGTCAGCGCTGAGGTTCGGTAATACAATCCTGGTTCAGGACTGTGAGAATTACGATGCTATTCTCAATCCTGTTCTTAATAGAGAGTTGAGACGTACTGGAGGTTAGTGGGGTCGTACTTTACTTTAGGTGACATTCTGTCGATATAAAGTGGGGTTGTACGAGTGTGGGTTTTTTTTAGTTAAGGAAACTTTAGAGCAAGATCAAGCTGATTAATGGTAGTCTGAATATTTTGGTTTGTAGTTTTTTTGGTTGTTTTTTATTTATAAGTTGAAGTTTGGAGATCTTCCTGGGAACATTTTTTGCTCTACAGTTAAACAAATAAACGGCCGTTTTGGTTGACTTTTTATAAATGTTGAAAATCAAAGCTTAAAACTATTAAATTTTTTTTTAAAACCATAAACCCTCGAGAACAAATAAATAAATAAAGTCAAGTTTTAAACTAATTTTAAACAAGCCTCAATTACAAGAACACAAACCTCCCCTCCCCAGGCCCGAGTACTGATTAACAATCGGAGTTACAGATATGACTTCTCCCCTCCTTCAACATTTCCTCTCTAAACACGTGACCCCAGGTTGGACTTCCGCTGATCTGTGCTTCAGGGTGATTTGTTAACTTTACGGTGACGAGAAGCAGTCTTCAGGAGCCATGTGCTAACAGGTTTGTGTGTTTGTACGTTTGTTTGTGTGTTTGTACGTTTGTTTGTGTGTTTGTACGTTTGTTTGTGTGTTTCTATGTTTGTTTGTACGTTTGTTTGTGTGTTTGTACGTTTGTTTGTGTGTTTGTACGTTTGTTTGTGTGTTTGTACGTTTGTTTGTGTGTTTGTATGCTTGTTTGTGTGTTTGTACGTTTGTTTGTGTGTTTGTGTACGATTTTTCGTTAATTTGTATATTTGTTTGTCCGTTCGCTTATCGGGTTTGTGGATTATAATTATATACAACAGTAAAGACTTCGAATGTTTGCCCTCATTCCCGATTTTGATGCTTTTAGATAATTTCCGTATTGATAGTGTTACATTTATTTCAATTACGATAACAAATTGGAATAATTTCATCGCTAGTTACTGACTTCTAGCATCTAGGAATATACTTTCGAACTTAATTTATTTTTGAACACTGAACACACTAACAGAAGTGTTGAAGTCAGAGAGACCAGATGTTGACAAAAAGAGGAGTGACCTGTTGAAGCTCCAGGGAGAGTTCGCTGTGAGGCTCCGACATCTGGAGAAATCCCTGCTAGCTGCTCTTAACGAGTAGCTAAGGTACGAAGTGTCTTTTGTCGTTATCTTTCAGAGTAGTTTCGTGGCATTTAGGTGGAGCTGTTGTAAGTTTATTAGTTAGTGACGATTAGTTATTTCAACTAAAATAATGGAAAAGTCCACTGAAAATTTAGGATAAGTCCGAGAATCATCGTTTCTCAATTTAAATCAACGAGATAAGTTTGTGGAGTACGTTATAACGTCACCCCATCTAAACAATTATTAATTAATTATTAATTAGACAATTATTCTGTGTCCAGGAAGTATTCTGGAGGATGAGAAAGTCATCGGAACTCTAGAAACTCTGAAGTCAGAAGCAGCTGAGATACAACAGAAGGTGGGTAACGATCTATAAAAGTGTTTTTTGTAATTGTCAGAGTAAGCTCTTGTTTTTTTTTGTGTTTATCGTTGTTTGATTTGTTATCACTGTTAGTCAAGAAAGTGGGTAGGATTGTAAAGTTTTCAGTTTAAGGTGGTAATTGGAAAGGAGGCAAGGAGACTTTGATTTTAATGTCGGCTAGTTTTACAAAATTATTTGCAATAAATTGGGAGTTAATTTAATGCTTCATTATTTAAAAAGAAGCTTCTTCGTATTATCTTTACTTTCTCCGATAGTAATTATCTCTTTAATTTAGGTTGATGAGACGGATGTAGTGATGGCGAAGAGGAATCTTTGACGAACATCTACCGACCTCTATCAGTTCAGTGTTCTGGTATCTTCTTTGCAATGGAGACACTCAATCAGATACATTATCTGTACCAATACTCTCTACAGGTAACTAGAACAAACAATGTCAAAAAACAAACAAAGTCAAAATGTCCAAACAAACAACAAACTAACTAACTAAATAACTAACTAACTATCTATCTAACGATCTAACTATCTAACTAAATAATATAATTACTTACTTACATAATAACTAACTGACTAACTAATCTACTAATCTAATTACTAATAACTAAATAATATTTAAACGTTCTAATACGAACTAATCTAACTACTAACTAAATACACTATAAATAATTACTAACTAACTAACTACTAACTAACTAACTAACTAAATAACTAACTAAACTACTTACTAACTACTAACTAACTAAACTAAACTAACTAACTAATAATTAACAATTTTAAAAACACATCCCCTAGTTGTATTCCTGGACATGTTTTGGTCGGTTGGTAAGAGTTAACGTTAACTGAACACGTTACCGGCGGAAACCACGGAGCGACTCAAGATTTTAACAACTGGATCTCTTTACTGGTCGCCTTCACTCGGCATCGGTCAGTTTTTTATTTATTTATGGTGCTGACAAACATTAGAGTTGTTTTACTTTTGTAGTATTAATCTCTGGAAGGTCATCGCTACATTCGTGATATTTAAACAGAATTCTTTAGACTTTTTACGCAGGAATGTTGTGACCCCTTCTCCCCTTCTTATCACAACTGACTATACCTCTCTCTCAGGACGTGTATGTTCGAAGAAGGACAGACTGATTCGCTAACGTACTGCTGTCCAAATATTCTTTTTTTAATTACTCAAATCTAGTGCGGAATCTTAACCTGGACGCTGAATTAACTACTTTACTCAGAGCTACAACGGGTGATGAAGGACCCTCCGACCTCCCCATATCATGGTTTCACAGTATTACAGTTTATTATTAAGTAATTAAAGTGATACGATTATTGATCAAGTAGTTTTTGCTGAATAACAAAGTTTTGGATAATGCGCAATGTACCAGATACACAGTCTTTGATTACAATATATGAAAGTATCAAGTTTTGTGCCGGTGGCATGTGACAATTTGTATTGCAGCTCCGGGACTTCACCATATTCTCACGTGACTTCATATATACTAAACTCCCACATTTTCCAGGGATTTACGAACATGCAGGTGCAAGCAATCCACACTCTAACCAACACTTTAGAGCCTTTCAAGGGTTTCGCGGCCTTTGTCCAGAACAACTCTGAGGAAGTGCTACAGAACGTCAGCCAGCTATCCGTACGTGTGTTTATGCGTCTGTTTATACGTGTTTTTGTGTGTCTGTTTGTCAGTCTATTCGTGTGATTGTGTTCATGCGCCTGGTCGTTTTTCAAAAACTCGGACAAACAACAACTCGTGTGTTCGAATATATCCATTTTTAGTGGCAAAACTGCTGTTTGTATGTTTGCCTGTTTACCTCTCAAACCCCTCGGACCCCCCACCCCTCAAAACCCCTCCCTCAAACCCCACCCCTCAGTTGAACCCTAGCCATGCTGGGAAGGAGCAGAAACCAGGGACCCTACACAAGTGCCCCCTCTACAAGATTGATATACGTGTTACCACGCTCCGTCCGGACAGGTGTTTCGGTGCTTGTAGGAAGTTTGTGGGAGCTGTGTTTGGTGGGTTATTATCTTTTTGTCACGTGACGTCATGATATGGTGTCACGTGACGTCATGATATGGTGTCACATGACGTGCTTTCATATGACGTCATAACATCGATGTATATTGAGTTTTATGTGATTATTTTTTACTGCTGCTTACTACAGATGAGAATACAGCTTTCCCAAGAATTATGGTTGTAACATTTACTCTCATCAAAGTTTGAGTACCATCTTATTTTTTCTCCATGATGTTAATTTTTAATTAATTATAATTTATTAAATATTATAGGAGAGTCGTTTGTGGAGGAAGAACAACTTGACCTGTACTCTGTAACCAAGAACGAAATAAAACCCAACACTCCTATACTGCTCAGCTGTGTAACGGGTTATGATGCTTCAGGTAAGTGGGATTTGTTGTGTGGGTGATTGAAATGTGTTTATCTGCTAGTAATATGAAGATTGGCTAAAAATTACTAAATATCTAATAATGGAAAGTACACCCCATCATCCATAGCTATATGTAAACTTTTGGCTACATTCTACTGTTTCTTCTAAAATAACAGAAACGTGGCTACATTCCACTGTTTCTTCTAAAATAACAGAAACTTTTGGCTACATTCCACTGTTTCTTCTAAAATAACAGAAACTTTGGCTACATCCCACTGTTTCTTCTAAAATAACAGAAACTTTTGGCTACATTCCACTGTTTCTTCTAAAATAACAGAAACGTGGCTACATGCACTGGTTTTTCTTTCCTAAAAATAACAGAAACGTGGTACATTCCACTGTTTCTTCTAAATAACAGCTGTCATTCCACTGTTTCTTCTAAAATAAAGAACCTTTAGGCTACATTCACTGTTTCTTCTATATTAACAGGAAACTTTTGGCTACATTGCACTGTGTCTTCTAAAATAACAGAAAACTTTTGGTTGATGAAGCGATTTGAAC